GCTCTCCACCACACACCTGTAGAAGGAGATGGGGAGTCTGGTGTTCCGCCCCTCCCTTTTCAGTCTTCTCAGGAAATACATGCGCTGATGAGCTTTCTTGATGATGCTGAAGTATTGTTGTGCCAGGTCAGGTTGTTGGTGGTGTGTACTCCAAGATATTTGATACAGGGAACCATCTCCACAGCTACTCCTTCGATGTAGAAGGGATTGGGGGGTTTCTCTTGTTAAATGTTGTAAATGTTACTCTTGTTATTTTTGATTGTATACCAATCTTGTCAATAAATGTAACATGTAGAGTACCGGTTAGCGGGTGCCACTTTCTTAAGACCAACTGAGTCCATGCTGTAGCTGATGGCGTAGACTACTGCGTCGTCAGCATTTATACTTGTGTGTTGGTGTCTGCCATTACACCGCTAAAACGCTAGTTGGTTGTGGAGTTTCTATGTTCCACTGTGTGGAGTATCTTCCTCTTTGTTGGTGTAGGCTACTACAAACAACAATGACTGAAACTGAGAGGATCATGTTGGAGTTGTAGCCAATTGATTTTGAACAGCACTGACTTTTAGTGAAATTATTAAAATACAAAAACAAGAGAAGGAGTCAGGCGAGATGGTATGTATGACTCTTAAACCAGTTAAGGCAGAAGAAGGATAAGCCGGAAAGGCATTGGAGGAAATGTGAGGCTATCAAGTCAAAGAGAAGTGAAGCTCGCATCAGCCCATGATGTAGATTTGACACCTTAACTCCCTGTCTGTACTTACACAGAGCTTGGTAAAAAAAACTTTCATGTAGGCAACTCCTTCTTCCTGGAATAAACAATGAATTAAAGAAAAACCTATTAACGAGGTACTATGTACTATATATATCAAAGAGTCGCCTGGGTGTCCAAGTGTCCAAAAGCTGGCAACTTCACTAGCTTTGATGTGCAAGCAAACAGCTACCAAAGCATAATGTCAAATGTTCTGTTTCTAAACATTTAAAAACAGCTTTGGAGTGTGCACAGTTTCATCTTTAACAGAGCAAACTTGGCCTAGAAAGACATTAAAATGATATTCATCTTCTCAAGTAACTGTTGCTAAGACATAGGGGTGGGAGAAAAAATTTATTCTTCGACGGATCGCGATGCAGACATGGATGGTTCTGACTCGATTAATAAATGTCAAAAGAATGATTATTTATATGTTAATAGATAACATAATGTGAGAAACGCTAAGCTGTATATCATTACTAACTTACCTACTTGTCAAGGGTTGAGAACATCAGGTACAAGCTTAGACTAAACTTGTGTACAGCTCTGTCCTGTACACATACTGTACATCCTGATAATTATAATTCAGTTTTCAGAGGAGTCTGACGACTGTTAAAGAAATGAAGGTGGTGACCATGGAGCTGAGGTTAATGAAGTAAATTAGGGATCCAAACTAGTCCTTCTAAGCTAATTAGGAGATGTTTCTTTTGGATTTTAATGCGCAAATTAAATGCTTAGTAATTATCCAGAGATCCTGCATAGAAAAAAATTATGCATCAAGATGCATCGATAATGCAGTGGTTAGCACTGTCGCCTTACAGCAAGAAGATCGTGGATTCGAACCTTGGTCGTTCCAGGCCTTCTGTGTGGAGTTTGCATGTTCTCCCCGTGTCTGCGTGGGTTCTCTCTGGGTGCTCTGGCTTCCTCCCACCATCCAAAAACATGCAAGCTAGGTTAATTGGTGTCTCTAAAAATTGTCCTTAGGTGTGAATGTGAGTGTGAGTGGTTTCTTGTCTACGTGTGGCCCTGTGATGGACTGGCGACCTGTCCAGGGTGTACTGGTCCCAGGGGGGTCGCAAGAATGCTGTTATAGACACAAAAATAGAAATAAAATAACTAGACGGACTACAGTTGTGAATGGAATCACTTTAGGTGGACACTTTTTTTATTATATATATATATATATACAACACACAGTATTTGAACACCCTGCTATTTTGCAAGTTCTCCACTTAGAAATCATGGAGGGGTCTGAAATTGTCATCGTAGGTGCATGTCCACTGTGAGAGACATAATCGTATTTTAGGAGGAGTCGGGGACAGACTGTTGTAGTCTCCGGACAATCCAAGCAACTGTAAACTTCAGTCTCTCCATTCATTCAAAACGGCAATTTTAAACGAAATATTTTCAACTTCAGAAAGGGGTCGGACTGCCAGAAAGGTTAAGAACCCCTGCCATAACACCTTGAGACCGCCTAAGCCTGGCTGCTATGGTAGTTTCTGTTCGTTCAACAGCAGAGTGACCAAGTACTATATAACACACTTAAATCAAACTGGTGGCCAGTGTACATGCTGTTCCAGCCTACAGTCCTATAAGCATAAATTGTCAAATTAGTTGTAACAACCAGATAATAGTGTGTCAGGCTGAAGTAGGAGGAGGGAGGGGGTGAGTACAGGTGCTATACTAAAAATTAAACAAAAACAAAACACACCAGAGTACTAATGAGGAGCAGGTGTGGGCAACAAACCCAAAATAGCTGCAAGAACAAAAAGCAATACGGACAAAACATTGTGTTTGATTAACAGTTTTTTGGTGTTGGAGCCGTTTTTCTTTCTTTCTTGTCAATAAGTTTCTCTACCTGCCAGTGAAAGAAGCTGATGACTTCGTAGATTCATCAATCACTGCACACTTTAGAGGAATATATTATCCTCAAGTTCTCTCTGCTTTGAAAGTGAATGGAGGACTAACGAGCTCCACAAAACAAAGGTGTGATTAATCATCACAAATTCCTCCAAATATAGTACTGGAAAGCCCAAAATTGTCAAAGTTAGAAGTTAAACTTTTTCTGCTCTTTCATGAACCTGAGCTCTCCAAGTTTATATTTACATTATCCATAGAGACATGCAATATGTGAACGAAGAATACAACACTTATATTCTTTTTCCATATTTGAAAAGTCAATCGTAGAGGAAATACAAAGGTTGCTATTCTAATATTTTAACTTCTTTAAACTGTTATACATACACTCACACAGTTTTTTCAGAATCCCTGACTAAAATGTTGTCTACATTTCAATTGTCTTCAAGCCATTAATAATTTGTTTTACTCTCAACAAGCTCTAACTCAACACTTGTCCATCCCAGAAGTTACTAATCAGAAACAACACCCAAAATTACCCTGTTCACGGGGGGTTGTAAAGAAAGTCCAGAGATGAGATGAGATTCAAACGTGGAGGAGGAAAAAAGACAAGCAGTAATAGAGTTCAAGGGAAAAAGGGAGGTCTAAGCAGGAGAGCTGAGAGGAGAAGCTGGAGAAAAGACTGGTGGGAAAGTAAGAAGGGATGAAGAGAGAAGAAAGCAGATTACTATTTATATGTTTAAGATGGGTAAAGGATTAAAAGGTGCGAGAGCAGGGATGTAATGAGAGATGAGATAAAGAAAAGAGGGATAAGTGGAAAGTAGAATTTAGGGAGAGGGACATTAAGAGGAAGTGAAAGACAAGGACAACAGATGAGAGCAGGAGGTAAAAGGAAAAGTTAGAGAAGAGTGACAGAAAAAAGGAGGATAAGAACTAACTGCAGCAATTAAGAGAGAAGAGTAGAAAGATAATGTGTGGAGTGTAGAGGACAAAAGACAGAAATCTGAGAAAGAGATGGATCAAAGAAACAGGTAAGGAATATAGATTACCGTCTAAAACGCTTTAGATATAGACGAGAAAAAAAGAGGAAGCAGACCAAGAGTGAGGAAACTAAAAGTAAGGAAGGAAAACACAGGAAAGGGGGAAAAAATCATGAAGAGAAGGGTAATTAGGACAAAGGAAAATAAACATGAAGAACAAATGCAAAAAGGGAAAAGAATGAGGAGTAAGCACAATAGAAAAATAAAAAGATAGAAGAACACAAAGGAGCAGAGGAATAAGATGGAAGACAGATTAAAAACAAAAAGCTCAGTGAAGCTGAAGCTGAGAGGACAAGATGAAAATGTTGAGAAGACATAGGGAGAGAAAATAATAAGAAATAAAAGTAGAATAGAGAAGAGAATTAGCAGCATGAAGATGAGAGGAAGAAAAAAGGAGATGATCCAATTAGGATTAGAAATCGGCCAGGAGTGCAAAACAGAAGACAACGTGTGGAAACAGAGTGGAGAAGGTGGTGAGGACATCCAAGAAAGAGGTAGAAACAGAATGTGAGACTAAAAGAATAAAGCTGGGGACACACGGAGGAGTAAACACAATCCATCACTGCTGCTCTGCCTCGGCTCTCTCAGACTAACACCTCCTCCT